ATTATTATCTATTTTTAATTTGGGTTTTATATTTCCTAAAGAATAAAACTCAAAAACAAAAAAAAACCTGTTTCTCTAAAATTACATATGTACTATGCATATCTTACGTTGGTTAAATTTAATTATAAAACTAGCATAAATCTTCTATCATTTTTGGGGGTATATAAGAGAAGTATATATAAAAACCTTATCAAAATTCGGGTGAAAGAAAACCAAAAACCAAATTTATGTGGCCAAATTGATAATCTAATGGATGAAAGGAAAAGAGAATCACTTTGGTTCACAAAAAGCAAAATATTCTTTAAAATCTTCTCATAGGAAAGACCAAAGAAGTTTTGTGGCGTCTCTTTTTCCCAATTTATTACTACCAAACATTTTTATGTCTCTATCTTCCGTACGTATGCAATTACATTATGGAATAAATTACTGGGTTGGGCTTTTTTTGAGCTAAAATTATCAATTTCGGTACATCTGCCAGACATTGTGTTTTAGGCATTTTGTCAGCAAACGAAATATCGTTTTTACCCTTGTATCAAAATTGATTTTCTCTCTCTCCGTTGCCCGAAGTCAATTTTTTTTACGATTTTCAAATCAAAATCCGGTAACGATGAAGAGATGAGATGAGACTAAGATGAAGACACTGCAAACGAGTTGGTGGTGACGATGATGAGATTCGGTGGCCATGAGGAAACGACATTGCAAACGAGTTGATGGTGACGATGATGAGATTCGTTGGCGATGAGGAGTCGACACTGCAAATGAGATGGTGATGAAGAAAATGAGATCCGGTGACAACGACGATGACAACGACGGTTTGAGCGTAGGGGAACGACAAAATTCAGACCCTCGCACCGCCCTTCCACCTCCACCTTCCTCCGCCTCTTCTCCGCCGACCCAAATCCACGCGCCTCCCGGTCAGCTACCTCACCCTCATGGCAGGAAGAGAGCCGTCATCTATGGTATCGTTTTTCTCACCACGAGCTCAAAGGCTGCATCAACGACGCCAAGTGCATGCGTCACCTTCTCATCAACAAATTCAAGTTCTCCCCAGATTCAATTCTCATCTATTCAACCAATCTCTCTCTCTCTCTCTCTCTCTCTCTCTCTCTCCGTGAGTTTTGCTTTGTCAAGGGAGATTAAAAACTCAAAACTTTTTATGAATCTGTAAAAGTAATTTTCAAATTTAGTTTTGATTCAATCAATCTCTATTATTGGAGCCCTTGGGTTTACTAAACACACTATCCCCATAGGGTTTAGTTTCCTTTATTCAAGACTTGATTAATTGAATTCATTGGGCTAATCGGAAGATATCGTATTAGTGGCGAAGACATATCGTGAGTCAGAGAATCTAAAGGAGACGTACGTTGATGGATTTGAAGGAGAAAGAGACGGAGACGGAGCGAACACGTCGGTGAGAAGCAATGGTTGTGGTCGGAAAAGAGAGACGGTGAGAAGCAATTGTTGTTCTCAGACCTCAAAGATGGTGTTGGTGGTGGAGAGAAAACTGAGGAAGAGAGACAAGGAGAAAATAGTCATTACCCCAAATTTACAAATACCTATAAACGTAAGTATAGGTAATGGTTCCTTTTTCAGAAGTTTTGGGCCAACAAATGCCTAAATTGATAATATTCCCTTACATTATGTCCACTATGTTACTTTTATAAGCTGCGTTTTTCTCTCTAAATAAGAAAAATTGCACGACTCTAATAATGGAACACATTTATGTGGTATAATTTTTAGAAATAATTAGATGAGAGATAAAGATTTTGGGTCTAATAAAATTTTCGGTAAAAAGTTGTCGGATCCAAAACAACAAAAATAATTAGTCCATTTTTTGCCTTTATTTACTCCTACGCGCCTCTGGTTTTTTTTTTTTTGTCTTTCTCCATTGTTTATATATTCAAACACTTTCATAATCATTCTGCTTCTGATTCTTCGTCTTCCCATATGTGATCTACTTAGATCTCTATTCTTATGCATAGTTCTTTTTCGTCTTCCACATATTTTTTAGATCTCTATTTTTTATTCATAGATCTTCTTAGTCCTTCACATATTTTTGTAGATCTCTACTTTCTATTCATAGATCTACTTGGAGATAATCCCATGCGAAGAGATAATTTTTACGATATAAATAAGGATCTATAACAAGTTTTGGAACTCCACAAATAGATCTACAAAACATAGATACATATTTAAAGAAATTTGTGGAGATTGATAAAGAAAATTAGATAGATAAACTAATAATAACATTACAAATTGTATGGTGTAAAAGTGATAAGGTTATAATTTTTTCCAGTGACATTGAATCCTTTAAAATGAGTGAAACAAGCATTCGTTTCTTAAATTTCGTAGCAACATTCCTTTGGAGATGGACAATACAAACCTCATGTGTTCTTTTTGGATAAACATGTCCCAATTAATTAAGAAATTAATAGATCTATAAATTTAATTATATGTCTATACATTTTCATAGAGTCATATCTCGAACTATATAGTGCTAAATTTATTAATAGAAATCTACTCAATTAGGTTAGTGGTTTAAAAATTATAATTTTCGCCAATACGTTTTTGTTATAGATTCAAACTAAAGTTGGTCACATTTAATGACCGTAACTTCGTTCTATCTATTGACGTGTAAATGTCAATTCAACTGTTAGACATTTATTAAGTGTCAGATTTTTTTATTAGGTGTCAGATTGTTCTTTCAATTTGTGTAAAGCCAAATTTATTTCTCCACTCGCAGCTGTAATATATGCCCTGGTATTATTGTAATAAGTGGCAAAACGAAGGCTGTTTTTACTCTTATTTAAATGTTGTCGGAGACAAACAACCCTATTTTCGATTTCCTAATTTTCTTTCCCGTTTTTACCTCTGAACTAATTCACTCTAATTTTATTTATTTATGGGAATAAAAATTCATTTAACGGTGTAAAACAGTAATTTTGTAAACTATTTTAATCCTTAATTGTAAACTCTTTGCACGTCTACCTCCCTGGGTGTCACAAATACTCCCTCCGTTTCATAAAGAGTGTCGTTTTAAGGTTTTATTTTTGTTTCACAAAGAATGTCGTTTTAGGTTTTCAATGCAAAATTTAATGATTTTTATGTTTTATGACTATTAGTATTCTGCAGATTGTTTTACTATTGGACAGATTATGTTTAGATATATAGTTAATGATGTTTTTATTTAGAAAAAACAAAAAATTTAATGTTTTCTTAATCTGTGTGCAAAACTCTAAAATGATCTTCTTTGTGAAACAGAGGGAGTAGTAAAGAAGAAGAATATCTTTTCTTACACTTATTTTTTATCAAAAAAAAAACATGTTACAAGAATGACTCAAGGAATACAACTTTTAAATATTCATAAAGTTTAAGAAAAAAAAATATTGAGAACTTTTTCATCTTTTTTGTCTTTAAATCAGCACGAAAGCTGTGCATACAATTGTGCAGATTCCATTTTCCTAAATACACAGTCCTACATAAGTACATGTCACTTTTTTTTTTTAAAACACTTTTTCTTCTAACAGATACGAGGTAATCACTTATCAGAAATAATCACAGTGTTTGTTCGTTAACTAATTTTTCGACATATAAATATAAAACATAAGTATGTGATACACTCTAAAACATTAACCTTAGATGTTATCTCGTTTTACCTGAGATGATACAAATAAAATCCATCATTTTCAATATATGAGTATCATTAAAACCATTAACTTGAGAATTGAGATGTTATCTCGTTAAAAGATATAGATTATTTGTTGTAATTGTTTAAATAATGACATAATGACTGATAATATATTTATTTAATTTACGAATCAATAATTAGATTTCATAGACAATATGACAAAAGAAAAAAAAAATAGATTTCAATGAAGATAAGAAGGGCGATTAGAAAGACGATCGCAACTTTACACAAGTAACCGCCGCCGTTAGACATTTTCTCTGGCCGGCGCTGGACTTTTCGGCGTCGGTCGGGTTCCTTTCTATTTATTTAGTTTTGTTCTACTTTCTGTCTCTGTTTCTTTCGATGAGCGACACTTTCTTCCACCGGTATCTCTTCCGATCTATGGTTTTCCTTCGGATGGTGACTTTATCCGTGTTCGTGCTTACACCGACAACAAACATTCACCACTTTCTTGTCAAGTGGATATCAGATCCGAAGGCAGAAGCGAACCCGTCTCATGGGACGGTAATACCTCTGGTCGATGAAAAAGGAACCGTTTTGCGGGAGTCTCAAGTCTATATACCATGTCTCATCCGGTCCTCCGTGGTGAAGGTCTTTTCCGGCGAAGTCGCCGAGGCATATCCGGTATGTATTACCGAGTTTTTATCGAAACTAACATATTTTGTTAGTTTTATGGTAGTCTCCGAAGACCACTGTTTCGTGGCTTTTCGATGGTTGATACAAATCTCTTTGGATTTGTTAATGAGACAACGACCACCACGAAAACCGCCATGGAATCAACCCACAACGGAGGATGGAGATGCGATTATGATGCGAATCAGAAGATCAGATCAACAACAAGTATGGGTTTACGCTACAATCACAAAACTTCATATCTCTTTCTTCAGGAGAGTTCCCAAATCTAGGGTCTTGCGATGTAACGGATGGATCGCAGACTTTGACTTTCGAAAGCGTAAAAGATGGTGCATCGATAAAAAGAAGATGTTTCCCAAGCTAGAGAGTCACACAAGATTGACGGATACGACGAAAGCAACTAAGCATATCATTCGGATTGCGGCGCTTGAACTTTTTTGCTTTTTCGTTACAAATCTATTTGATTGTGTTCATACCCTTATGTTTTAACAATGTAATCTTTGGTTAACATTTAAAAAGTTATGATTTGATGTTAAAAAAAAATAAAATAATAGATTTCATAGTGCAAAAGATATGAAAATCAACTTCAAGAATCTCATTATAGTTTCATGAGTTATTCAGAAATGAATCGCATAATTAAGTTATTATTATTATATTATTATACTGTACAATAAAGAGGGGTATTTTGGTAAATTAAGAAATGCCCTTATCTCATTTCCGATCCTCCTTCTTGGTGCCGCCTTCGCACCCATTCATAAAAAAAGGAAAGACGCAATCTTTTCTTGTCTCTTCCATTCTTCATAAAGCTTTCCTCTTTCACTTTCTATTCTCTTTAATCCGTTTAAATCCAATCTCAAAATCCAATATTTCGATCAAATAATCCACTTTTCGATTACAAAACTCCAACATTTTGCAGATTTGTGTTCTAGGGTTCTATCGTTTTTGTTTATGATTTGATTCCCATCAAGATTCAATCAGTTTTCTCATATCTCTTATTGCTGAATTTGATCCAATCAATCGATAAACCAAACCCAGAAGCTATGAGAGTCCACCCAATTCCCAGAAACCTCAACAATACTTTGATCCATCATCACCATAACCCGACCCGAGAACCCGGAAAGAATCTCCGGCGATTGCCACATATCTTCAACCGTGTTCTGGAGCTGCCATTGAGGTCAGAGGCAGATGTAACAGTGGAAGAGAGACACGACTGTTTTCGATTCGTGGCGGAGACGGTAGGTCTTTGTGACGGTGATGGAGAAATGAGGGCTTATATGGTTGAGATTCATCCGGGTATAACCAAGATCGTTGTTAGGACAAATGGGTCGTCTTCTCTTGGTTTGTCTTTAGACGAGTTAGAGCTTGACGTGTGGCGTTTTAGGCTACCGGAATCTACTAGGCCTGAGCTTGTTACTGTGGCTTGTGTTGATGGAGATTTGATTGTTACTGTGCCTAAGAATGCTGAAGAAGAAGATGATGATGATGGTGGTGGTGATTTTGGACAAGGTATGGGTAGTGGAAGGCTGGTGCTTGTTCAGTGAATCAAGTTATGTTCTTTATGTAATGATGTTGATGATGATACTCTTGAAACATGAGAGAAGACAAAACTGTAATCTTCCTCGTTTCGTTGATATTGTGTAGCCTTCTGTTTTTCTTGTTGGCAATAAAAGAAAGATTGAATCTTTGATCTCTCATTTTGTAAGATCAAGAAGGGTTATTTGAAGATGTATTAAACAAGATAATGAAACACAAAAAGGTCTAATTTTTTCATCAACTAACGGGTAGTTTTGAGTTTCCATAGTACATTACATAAAATAGACAAAAGGCCCAAGTCTAAAATAAGTTTCAAGACTCTTGCAACATAAACCAAAAAGCTACATGACACAACAAGACTGGCTAAAGGTTATAAAGGATACAGGAGGAGGCCAGATTTAGAGGAAGAAGCCTTTGAGAGGAGTGAATTTAGAGAGGATCTCTGCTTCACGTTTGAGTGCATTGTCCTTCTTACATTCCCATTCAGGCTTCTTTGAATTAGCTGATTGAACTTCCTGCACAACTTTCGGGATCGAGTTCGCTACCATTTTCTGACCGTAGCTTAGATCAACCCTCTCTTTCTCCTTGGTCCCGATGTACCGCTTCAACTCAGACCGTCTGGCTTGAAGCTGAGCGATTTGGTCATCGATTTGACGGATTGTCTCAGAGTTTGTGTCTACTTCCATTTGGATACTCCCTAGTTTTTCCTTCAGGTCGCTGTATTCGTATTTAAGCGATGCTACCTTGGCTTTGTTGAGCTCCAGCGCAGAGAAAAACCGATCTGCTTCTTCAATCACCCCTTTGTTCTCTTGGAACACTTCGCTGAACGTTGGAATCTCTTCCATCAGCTTCAATCTTACTATCTCTTCAGCAGTAAGGTTTGGATCTTTCCTCAGTTTAGTTGCTAATGCTGCTATCTCTGCTGCGTCTTTGGAGAGGAACAGAGTAGTGAAATCCTTCTCCAGAAGAGATGAAATCTTCATTCGAGCTTCAGCCCATTCGTATTCTCTCATTGGAGAGCTAACACTAACAAGAACAGACGAGTCTCGCCCAACCTCTTCTGGAGGCTGCTGCATCAGGTTATCAAGAGAGTTCAGGTAGCTGTCAAACTCTTCCGGGTTAACATCGATAGGCGAGTGCGAGACCGCGAGGACACCATTCATAGGAGAGACATAGATATGAGGAATAGAAACATCTTCTTCCTCATAGGTAGCTCCGCGTTTCTTTCTCTTGTTACCAGTCTTTGGTGCAGTAGCAGGCTCACCCTCCTCAGCATTCAGGAAGTTCAAGTCCACAGCACCACCGCGCTGCTGGTTCGAGGTGCGTCTTGCGGATTGTCGAGATGATTTCGGTTTGGTCGAGGATTGCGGACCAGTGGCAGGAGTTGTGGCTCCTTTCTTCTTCTTGTTGCTGCTACCTCGAGTTGGTTTAGGTTTCTCTTCAACAGTTTCATATGTTTGTGTCGGCATTGGTTTCCTCTTCCTTTGGCTGTATCGGGAATTTCCATCTTTTTTCCCATCCTGAGCATTCTCATCATTCTGGCCATTCTGACCAACCTCGGTCTGTACTTCCTTCGGTGTCTCCTCAAAAAGAGACGCAGCATCAACTACAAAAGAAAGAAAACATGTTGAATTGGTTAATTCAAATCACCTACAAAATCTTAACCTTGCAAAGCTATCAAATTACCTTTATTTGCAGGCTGGAAGAGAGCTGGAATCTTCCAGCTAAAAGATGCAAAGAATGCATCAGCATCCATGCCTGGGAAATTCGATTGGAGATAACGAGCAAGAGTGGCTTTGCTTGCGAAAGACTTAGAGACATTCTTTTGCTGAAGCCTTTGAGGGAGAATAAGAAACCTATCCTGATGATACCCCGTGGCAGTCACTCTCCTCCCAACTCTCCAAGTCCAAACATCACCAGGGCTTGGCCAATCAACAGGCGCATATGGCAGACCTTGACCAGTTGTAACCGGCGGAATCGCAGGAAGTTGATTGAGATCAGTTTCCCCGTGAGTGAAAGAGCTGTTGTCTACACTTCTCTGTCCATTTTCCTTTGCCTGAGAGGGCTCTGGATCTTCAATGGCCTCCTCCCTACTGAAACCGTTTTCCCAGAAGTCATCGTTCTCTTGCTGAGTGCGGTCAAGATGATCCGAATCATTTTCTCGGTAAGTTGAAAGCGGGACAGGTTCATTGTCTCGGTAAGTACTGATTGGGACTGGTTCCGTATCAAACCTGCATGCAAATTAGCAATAGAGAAAGTGAAAGAAAAGTGTGATAAATAAAACAAACAACAAAAACATCAAATCATTTGCCTTCTCTATAACACCAATAGACAAACAATATACATTTCATTATATCGTAATGTCGAAACAAGTATATACTCAGGAAACAAGATGAAAAACACTATACTCAACCCTAAAGACACATCCTTTCTGGTAGCAGCAGTTAGAATAAGAACCCTACCGTTTGCTCAAAGTAAGTCTCATCTAAACTCAAGAATTGTTGATGCTTAGGTCAGAATTTTGAACAAATGTCAGCTAAACACTACAATACAAGTCTAAGAGAGGGAAATTGGTTTCATTTCCGGACATAAACCCATCAAAAGCTCTCATTTGTTCAAGAAATCAAAGCAAAGATTCAGACACAGGATAACAAAAACAAAACAGAGTAAACAAAACAAGTTTTTGTCCACAATTATTAACATAGGTATAGAGAAAAAGAAGTACCCAGGAGGATTTTGAACGATCTCTTGCATATCAATCGGAGAGTAAAACGGAGCAGACATGACCACTCAAACCCTAATTTCCTGCAGAAGAGAAACACCCATTAAAGCAAAATTGAGAAAAAGGAGAATTCGGAATCTAAATCAACGGTGGAAACGTTAAAGTTATGAACTTTGTGTGGTTAAGAAGCAGTACGAACAATTTTCAAAAGCAGATCTAACCTTTTTTCACTCTCTTCTTCTTCTTCTGGCTCTGGAGATGTGGTTTAGTCTTGAAGCTGAGATCAAAATGAAACGAATAAACGAGGAATTGTGAATTGACTATTATGCCCTTACGGTGTACAGTCCCTTTTTGGAGGAATTTTGGGTTTTCATGTAATCGACGTGTTGCACGGTAAAGTCTTTTTAACTTTATTGACCGATTTACCGTAATCCTCTTTTATCTTTTGTCAACAAAAGTTTAACACCAAATAATAAACGAAGTTTTTCTTCCAATCAAATGGTAGATACCATAAATCGCATCTAAAATTCGCGATATTACTTTCACTTTGTTTCCAAAATTCATTTCAGAGAAAACCTTTAAAATGATAGTCAAAATATTTTTTAAAACTAATTAGTAACTCACTAATAACTTTGAGTATTGCATATAATTAACCAAAACAACATTGTCAAGATTATGGTATGTTGATATGATGATGATGTTGATAATGTTGTTTATTTGACTCAAGAACCTAACTACATTGATTTTTGTTGGGCTTGTCTAATGTCAAAAACTCATGATTTGTGGACTTGTCACTGTTTGTTTCAATATGAATATTATTGCATTAAATTGGACAATTTACATATGTTTTTCTACATGATGCTCGGTCACTAGGTCCATATACCCACAATCATGATGGAGTGTCTTACCGGTTAATATGAGATTACATTAGGAAAAACTGTTAATCACAAATACAAATGATTACATCAAATAAACATAGATCTTTGATTCATATATTCTATGATGACTGATGAATAACATTTCTTCTCCACCCAATTTTCCAGATTCTCTGTATCAATAACATTGATCTAATTATACACCAAAAATGAAATAAATCGTTCAAGCTACTGCTTAATGACTCCCACGCAAATGTTCTTCATGGAGTATCATCAATTGTTCAGCTACCTAACAAATCACACGATCGAAGTTAATTTAGTAAATTAATCGTCTACATTTTTTAAGAAAAGGTACCTCTTCAATGCTGCCATCTTCGATCTCTGTGTTGAAAGAGAGAAGCAAGCTTTCATGTAGCAAATTCTCTATTTCTTCCACCGTAATCACTGCTCCATATAACAATGTTGATATCAATATCTTCATGATCTTAACATAAATTCGAAAGAAGGGAAAAAGAAAATCATACCGTTTGATTGAGAGAAGAGATGAAATAGATGGTGAGCTAGCTCTTGAGATTTCTTGAGAGAATCATGGCCTCCCCATTGGTTCTTCACGGCCATTTGAAGCCCGCCCCAACGCGAAAGAAGCTCTCTGATGTCTCTCTGAAGAACAGAGTCGTCGGCCACAGAAGGCACGTGCTTGTGATGCCATGTGTCGGAGACCACGTGAGCGTTGAACGTTATTCCACCGGTTCCCATATCTTTGGTCTTTCCGGCCGAAGAAAGCGGGTTCTTCCGCCTTGTAACTCCGTTAAACAAAACGGAGAACAGAAGCTGGAAGATTTTGTGTATGGGAACACAGAGAGAAGAAATACACGTTGTGTTTTCTATTGTATACTCTGTTTTCTAAAATGAAAAAAAAAAGAGAGAAGAAAAAGAAAAAGCAACGAAAAACAAGGATCTAGAGAGATCCGAAGAGTTAGGGGAAGTTTATGAGTTTTGTTAGACCGACAAAGATTTGTTATTTGACTTCCGACATATTGGTGACTTCTGTTTCCAACCTTTTCTTGATGTTTTGTTTTGTCTTAAAATTGAAACGTGTCTACAACAACAAAAATAAGTATTGAAATGTACGTGTCCAATGTTATACGACTCAAATGTGGTAACGTTGGAAATAGGTCCTTTTTCATTCATTCTTAAAACTAGATGACAAATTTACAAAAAGAAAAGTAAAATCCCTATCTCAATCTAAGCTTTATCATCTTGCTATAAAACTTGTAAACTGACGCGAGTGTCCTAGTCACCTTATTGACAAGTGTCAAAATCTCATAATGTTGATCCCATACTCATGCACCTCTCTTTATATAATAGATAATTTCATAATGTTGCTAGGAGTTATCTTAACATAACTTAACAAAACAGAGATGAGCCAAGAGCAACCAAGGAGGCCTAAAGAGCCAGTCAAATACGGGGACGTTTTTGAAGTCTCCGGTGAACTAGCTGATAAGCCCATAGCACCCGAGGATGCAAAGATGATGCAATCCGCGGAGACACATGTGTTCGGCCATACTCAGAAAGGCGGTCCAGCTGCGGTCATGCAATCTGCAGCCACCACCAATATACGCGGTGGCTTTGTCCATCCAGGTGACAAAACTGAGCTTGTCGCTGAACGAGGCGCCACAGTGGAGCAAACAGTCCCAGCTACAACCGTCACAACCGAATTCGTCGCTGGACAGGTGGTTTCCAAAATTACGTACTTCTTTTTCATATATTCATCTTTTGTTTTGGGGTAATGGTGAAGCTTTTAAGCAGAGGTAGGGCGACAGAGGAGGCGATTAGGTTTTCTCTTTCGTTTGCCGCTCGTAAGGGTTCTGGGCGGCCAGCCGCCGTATCCAACCATGGCTTCAGGGATCGAAGATTCTCTGGTGCCGGTTTCGAGCCAATCAAAAGAAGTTTCTAGTCCAAAATCGTATGCAAATGTAGTTGGCAGTAAGCCTAGTCTAAAAAAGTTCGATGTTGATGTCAAGGTAGTCGAAGGGAGAGCCACGGTTGCTGTTCCAAATGAGATTTTAGAGAATTCGGTCCCGCTTTGGGAAGATTTTCTGGTGGGAAGGTTTCCCTCTGTGGCACCACATATTGCTAAGATCCACGTTATTGTCAACAAAATTTGGAATCTTGGAGATAAAAGTATTCGGATTGATGCTTACAGTGTAAATGAGACTACGGTCAAATTTCGCATCTGTAACGCTTCAGCTAGATCACATGTACTTAGAAGAGGTATGTGGAATATTTGTGATCTTCCAATGATTGTTTCCAAATGGACTCCAATCGCGGAGGAGGCTCAGCCGGAAGTTAAGACTATGCCGATGTGGGTTATCATTAAAAATGTTCCCCACTCTATGTTTACTTGGCCGGGACTTAGCTTTATCGCTAGCCCTGTGGGAGAACCGAAGAGGCTGCACCCTGACACGGTGTTGGTGACAAGTTTTGAAGAAGCAAAGATTTTTGTCGATGTGGATCTCACACAAGAGTTACCAAAATCCTGCTATTTCAACGTTAAAGGGGAGGACGTTTGTGTCACTTTTGAGTATCCTTGGCTGCCACCGAAGTGTGGGACATGTGGCAAGTGGGGACACTTTGAAGGAACTTGTTTGGCAAACATGGGAAAGTCTCATGAGAAGAAACAGGGGGAGAACGTGAAAAATGGAGCTTCCCTTGATCCCACGGGTGAAGAAGCGCCTTTGGGGATAGTGAATGATAAAGCATCAAATTCAGAAATTGAGCTTGGTTTGAAGGGAAAAGATGATAGGGAGATTCTGGAGGAAGAGGGAAGTAAATTGTTTTCAGAAATGGAAGAGGGTGAGATCCCTCAATCTCTGAAAACAGGGGCCACAAGCAATTTGAATGAGTCTGGAAATGAATGGACAACGATAACTCAATCCGGAGGGGGACGGGGTTTAAAAAAGTCTGGTGTTGAGTTGGTGTATGGTCAAGTATGTATTGCGTCGCCTACTCGTTATGATGTGTAAAGACAT